AATCCTGAAATCATCAGTAGATGGATTCTTCTAGCTCAGTCCTGGGCCTCATCGCGAGAAGTTAATTTTCACAGTGAGTTGAGTACAGTTGTTAAAACCTGTAGCCTCAAAATCACTTTGTTAGTTTCGCGCCTTTCCGGGTTGTTTCGGGTTCTTTTAAACAAGTAAGAATTACCAACAAATAGTGCTTGCGTACAGGAAAGAAGACATTCATATGTCATGTTGTTGTTTGCTCGTGAATCACAATTATCTCTTTGGCCTTTTAACAGGACGTACACGTCAGTGACACGTTACCTTTCAATTTTATTGTTCGTACCGCGATGTTTGCTACTTGCAGCACCATGAGATATTATTTTTTTGAGCAAGGGAAATTGTTGCGCGTGGTTCAGGTGGTTGGCTTTCATTACGAAATACTCATGTTATGCTGGTTGCTTCCCCGGCCACACCAATTTTGTCCTCACTTTATAAATGTTTGTTGTTCCCACCAGTTAGGCATATTTTTCTCATAACTAATACCGCGTTTCCGTTAGTGTAAAAAGCGAACTTGTTTTCAAAGATGGCTTCTAGACGAAAAATACACATGGCATGTTTGTATTTCGACCTCGCTATAATATAACTGTTAGCAACTACTATTAGCGCTAGTTAGACCTCGCTTTGTCACGAACCATTAGGCGTTTCTACTTTGTGTGAAAGCAAACTTGTTTTTTATAGTTGGCTTATAGAACGAGGAAAGCTCGTTTTTAGTTGGTGTAAAAGCGAACTTGTTTTGCGCGGTTGGCTTATAGAACGAGGAATATTCATGATAATTATAGTGCGCTTTTACTTGGTGTAAAAGCGAACTTCAAGTGTTTTGTGTGGCTGGCTTACTAACGAGGAATATTCATAATAAATATTAGCTCGTTTTTACTTGGTGTAAAAGCGAACTTGTTGTGCGCGGTTGGCTTATAGAACGAGGAACATTCATGATAAGTATAGCGTGCTTGGTGTGAAAACAAACTTGTTTTGCGTGGTTGGCTTAAAGAACGAGGAATATTCATGATAATTATAGCGCGCTTTTACTTGGTGTAAAAGCGAACTTGTTTTCCGTGGTTGGCTTATAGAACGAGGAATATTCATTGACCCCGCAGGGATCTCGCCCAGAAGGCGAAATCCTGAGGAGGCACTCTAGTAACACGCGCGTATATTAAGGAAAGTACTTACAGTTGAAATATTCAATCATACAGTCAATATAGAAAAAATCTCGATTTGCTTGAACAGGGGCCGCGAGGAATCGGTAGCTAATGATGACGTTTCTATTGTTTGCGCCCGCAAGTACGAAATGGTTAGGATGACGTAAAACACAAAAAATCCCGAAGGGACCGCTTACAATAGGTAGATTTTGTGACATTAATTGTGCAGTCATACTTCGATACTCTTTTGCGTTACGTGTTATCAGTGACATTCTGTGGAGCAGTTGTTATGAAAGTTATGGACCAAAAGACACTCGTTAAGCGCAGATGAAGTTATAAGGTGCATATAACAGTGTATATTTTAACACTAAGTGAGTTTGCCAGACACGAGTTCACAAATCTTTGATTGGAAACCTTGCCAGACACTCACCTCTTTCTCTCTCTTTGACCGGAATAAGAAGCAAGAAGAGTGAATGATTCAACAGCTAGCTTATCATTAGCAGAACAATGGACGATTACAGAAATTCGCCGACCATCAAATTCTGTTCTGACTTATTCCCTGCTCACAGATGTCCTTCCGCTATAAAGTTTAAAATAAGACCAGAATGCGCGAGCCTGAATTGATCAAACGTTCTTTTAATTTCTAAGGCTTACTATCCGGTACCCTGCGAGCAGTGGTTTCTCCAGGCCGGATGCTACGCTTCGATGGGAAAGAAACCACAGCGAGCAAACGTTTGCTTTTCCATCGAGCATGCTCGTCCACGTGATGACTACGAATACCCAACGACAAGACGGCAACGAGAACTTCAACAAAACAATAGGTTTAATAAGCAAAACAACAACTTTGCACGTGCATCACGCTTTTATTTTTGCATTTCTTTGCCATTTTTGCACGACTACGACGTGAAGACACCTAATTTTCCGTTTTATGGATAACGCAAACAAGCAACGACGAAATTTATTCTTCTTTTCGCTCTTGAACTTGGATATGGTCCCTTGGAATTCAACTCCATTTGGGTCCGCCTACATTTGACAAAGTAACTTATCAGATAGGAATAAATAATCCAAAGAAATATTGAATATCCACAACAGGCTCGCGTTAAGGCAGCAATTGTAAGCGTAAGCAAATGCGCGAGAGCCTAAACTTGCTTTCAAACAGGATTTACATGTTTAAAGTTAATTTATTCGTCCATAGCGCTGGACGGCGGCTCGATCAAAGAAGCAGACGGATGCTCGCAGTCAGGTTTCTCTCCCTTTGTAGCGTAGCGTCCGGCCTGGAGAAACCACTGCTTGCAGGTAACTTTCCGGCAAGTAAAATGAACTAAATGTAAAAGGTGAAATAGAAATAGCGAAAAATTAAACTTCTAATTAAATCTTTTCTTATGGTTCAGAATAAACCATATTCTCGAAACTCAGAGAATGTTTTGATCAAAGCTGTGTAAATCGAACTGAAACTGTGCATGGAACCTTGCGTTCATTTCCTGTATTTATCTCACCTATTGTATGGAATATGTGTTAACATCTTCATTATGAATCGGTATATTTCAAAGAGCTACACAAGGAGCAAGAATACTATTGACCGACAATTTACAGAGCGGGGGCAGCTGTAGTGTCATCTATTACTAGTAATAATTATTAGCTCGTTTTTACTTGGTGTAAAAGTGAACTTGTTTTGTGTGGTTCGCTTATAAAACGAGGAATGTTCAGAATAATTATTAGCGCGTTTCTACTTTGTGTAAAAGCGAACTTGTTTTGCACCAATGGAACCATTGGAATGGCATCATTTTCTATTAGTACCAATCGTACCATTGGTACCAGTGGACCATCGGAATTGCCCTGTACCCAGCCAGGTCACATGGAAAAATAATCAAAGTCCCCTTAATGAGATGCATATTTACTAACAGAACCATTGGAATGACATCCTTTTCTATTGGTACCAATCCTACCATCGGTACCAATGAACCATCGCATCGGTTTGACGAATCGTATCCGTTTGTGTATATTGGACATGTGCGAGTTGTTTCTTGTGGAAAAGGTGCGTCGTTTTTCATCAGAGGACACTTAGGTTCTATTATTTTCTCCCTTTGATCGATCTGACGTTTCGATCGGTCAAATTCATATTCGATTCACTCTGCAGCAAAAAAGTGCGAATTTCGCCATCTTTATAAACTGCAATATTTTAAAACTGCAATCAAGGTCACAGGTCAAGGCCCTGTGGTTTTGTTAAGGTTTTCATTAATTCCCCCTTTCGATCGCATTGCCGTCATTTTAACTCCAGAGTGGTAAACCCTCACCGTCCCTCCCCCCTGCGTATCTTCGACATTTTCAGACGTTTGATCTTCCTAGAGCCGCCCAAACAAAAAATACTCTCTTCTTTTTGTGATAAATATTTATAAATGCAGCTGCACTTTTTTACCCCTAATCGCGCACTATGATTCATCAGTTTCACTGTAAGGTCCGTGAACCAAAAGTTTGTTATCGTACAGTTGGGTCCAAACATTGTAGTAAAGCTGTTCGTTCCAGGCTTCTAGGTTTTGAAAGGGTAGGGATTTCACTAGTTGAAGTATATGAAAGGGTAGATAAATCTGTCATTTCGGTCTTTAAAAAAGCCTGCTCAAAATGGCTAACAGATAGATTTTATGGCCGCTGTGTAAAAGTCCAGAAAACGTTCCGAGTTTGTGGTTTAATCCTATTTTAAAGACAACGCAGTTACAGCAGTAAAGTGAAAATTCCCAAACAAGGTATGTGAAAGAGGTACCGCTTGTCGATGGAAGAGATACGAAGGAGGTACCTTTCCTTTCAAAAATGGTATGTAAAAGGATAAGGGGTTGAACCTTGGGGGGAACCTCCCCGTATTAAACTTTGTTAAGTATCCCGGGAATCAACGTCGTACCGCTTGAAGTAAAATCTTCGATGCCCTATCAGTCTCTATTCACAGACATTATATTAAACATGTTACTAACATCACATTTTTGACCCGTACTGTTAGTTACGCAACATTTTTTGCCATGATCCCATGATAAATCCGAGCAGAACTTGTAGTACACATTCGGTTAGTAAGAGGTGTTACGAGCACTGATCATGAAGGTTCATCAAACGCGCTTTTGTCCCCAGCGGCCTTACATTCCCATCATTTTTTTATAAAGCAAACGCAGACGGAACAGTAAAGGAGAAATTTGCATTTTATGTCTCCAGTTGGCGTTTGCTCTTTCCGTGTCTCTGGGGGATTGGTGGGAAACAAAGTCTTAAATGGGGAGGCTCCCGCGGCTCCGAAGTGTAACCCCTTACCTTTTAATATCCCATTTTCAACACAAAAGGTTCCCCTTTCTCATACCTTCTATTGACAAATGGTACCCCTTTCATATACCTGGTTAAGAATTTTGCATCCCTTTTAACTTTTGTAAATGCACTATCTTTTAAATATGAATAAATCACTAAACCAGAGAGTTTTCTCTACTTTTCACAGCCATAAATTGCATCTGTTAGCCTTTCTGGTCCTTTTCACAGACCGAAATGACAGATTTCTGTACCCTCTCAAAGACTTCAACTAGTGAAATCCCTACGCTTTTAAATACCTGAAGCCTGAAAGATTTACCCCTTTCCGAACAGGCCATTATAAGAAGAATTTGTCAGTAGGGAAAGGAATTATAGGAAGTAACCATCCTGCATTATTGGGAGTATTTGTCATTTAGCATCTGTCAGTATACTTGTTCGCGCATTTGAATTATATGGACCAGCCTTAATTAATGAATTTTGGCCTACAATATCGGTCTTCTAGCACTGGTTATTTTATACTAGTGATGAACAACATCAATAGACCAAAAGATATTGTCAATTAATATCTTTATTCTTCAATATTCCAAACACCATTTGCGTACAGGTATTCTTGATCAGTTTAAGCAGACCTAAAAAGAAAAAAAAAATGATACAGTCTATTTCTTTATTTGTACAGGGTAGAAAGTTTGTACCGTGCGTGTAACATATAGGAGATCATTTTTAGGGTATAAGTGGAGGAGGGTAGGTAGATTTCTGATTCCCCTTGAAGTGTGTGTTTTAGCGCCTGAGACTGATGAGTTGAATTGCATCCTCGAATTTTTTTTTGCATTTACAAACAAATTTAAGTTGGTAATGAAAGGCAATGAACCTGAACTGTGGATAGCTTCTTTAACAACATGCAACTTTATCAAAGTACAGAGTAACCGTTGATTGTTGATCGTTAATTCAGGTGGAAAAGGTTCGCTTAATAGAGGTTTCACTGTAATACTTACTACCTTCACTTGTTGCACTTGTAATATAGATTCGCCTGTTTCGCGTCCAGCGGACTAAGCCGTCTACTGGGGCTTATCTTTTTTCCAGGCTTCTTGGCTCTTAAGGTGGGCAGAAAAACATATTTGCTGAAATCAAATCGTCCATAGTGCATCACGGATTCGTAGTCATACGGGACGCCTAAACTGTCGATGGACCACGTGGAGTATTTGTTGAAATTGCTTTTTTTGCCTATGTATTTTTGAGAAGATTAATTAGGCAATAGGCTAACCAGTGGGATGATTTAAAATGATTAAGGGATATATCAATAAAGGAGATAACAACTAAAATTGATAAAAAAGGACAATTGAAAAGAATTTAAGAGGTTTCTGTACGACTTTTAAATCCATACAGCGATTTTTCACATGAAGTCTCGGGCGGCAAGACGATAGGTTAAATTCTTTTTTGTTATGTAAACCCTTTCTTTTTCATATTCATTATATATCAGGAGCCTATCAGGGCCTCTGTTTTTATATATTGCAAAGATGGTGGCCAGGTAAGAATTGGTCTTGAGCACTTGAGCTATAGCAAATGGAATGCTCCTTCTTAAGTGGAACAAAGTGACAGTATTCGTGACTGTTTTCAGTCTCGACCTGCTTATAAAATATGTTTTGTTAAGAAAAAATATGTCTTCATAGAACATGTTTTGTTTGGAAAAAATTGCTTTAGCTCTGATTTTAGCTTGTATCTAAGTCCAAGTTCCACTTACTTTCAATGATGTTGTTCCAAAGTACCTCTACGTATTCATCACGGTCTGGGCGACTTTGTTCGTGCCAGAATCCTGTAAATGCAATGACACGTCAGATTTTGGTTGTTGTTTGTTTAATAACTTATTTACATACTTAATTCATTTACACACGATAAAATCTTCAGTATTATTGACATTAAGAAGTTTTCAAGTTGGAATTATGAGCATGCAGCTGTATGGGAGCAGGTAGACCGGTTATTTCTCACAACCAAGCCGCTAAAAATAATTGTTGGCACTGATTACTGAAACTTTACGGCTGTAATCGCATGAATTATTCTTTTCTTTTTCTCCTGCTATTTTTGAGCAAAATCTTCGCAGCAAATATCGTCCGAGAGGTCAACTCAGCAAGGTTTTACCCGTGGAGGTTCCGCCCCAAGATCCAACCCGTACCCTTTTACACACCATTTCTGACAGAATAGGCGCATTCCCTTTTGTACACCTCCCACTGAAAAATGCTGCTCGCACACATACCTACTAACACTTATTTTCATGTTGGGTTAAAGGAATTAAATGCTACAGCCATAAGCTACATCTGTTGGATCCTTTCAGTTGTATACTACAACTCGTCAAATCCTTAACTTTTCATATTAGCTCATATTCCTGAATCCTGAAAAAGGTACCACATTTGGGAGGAGCCTTCTCGCATAAGCCACAATAGGGAGCGCTCCCCGAAATATCGTCACTATTGTATGTTGAGATACAAATCACCTGATACGATTGCTCATATAAAAAGCCATTATTAACATTCGTAGTTGTTAGTAGAAATTCCGGGGCACCCAACGACTGTTTTCTGTAAAATATCTGTTCTGAGACGCAAATTTTGCTTAGAACTTTTTATTCCTGGAGGAGGGCTAATTACTCCTAGATGACAGTTCCATTCATGTAAAATTTTCAAAGCTCATCTAATAAATTCCCTACGATTTTCTGGAGTTTGATTTTTCACATTTCACTCCTCGGGTCACGTTATTTTTCGTAGAAGAAAGAAAACCAAATATTTTCGGATCCAGCCCTTGGTATTTCGAAAAAGACTCAAGTTCCCCTGGGATGACCGAAAAGATACAAATTTCATAGCGCCGCTTAGAATGCATGCACTTGTAGATATCTAAAAGTGCTCTGGATAGCCTAAAAAGTGTTTTCAATGTATTGAGGAGGAACCCGTCGTTGAGTGTCCCTCGTACAACGTTTACTTACCAATGGCGTGACCAATCTCGTGAACTGCAACATGCAATCCTATGCAGGAAAAACCGAGGTTAATGACTTGCCTTCCGCCAACACGGCCAACGCCTCGACTATAACACCTGCAAAAATGAAGACCAGATATTTTTCCGTCGGTTGGCTAAAAAAAGACATTTAAGATTGCACAAAGGTGTATTTACACTCCTCGGAAAATTGATGTGGGTCACTCTTCGGACTTGAGGTGTTAATTATGTCTAACTACCTCTATTTCAGCAGCCGAAACAGGTTTTTTTTTTACATGAAATTATCCTGACACATGACGATTTCGACATTGCTGATCCTAGCAGTACGCAGGAGGCATGTTATACATGAACCTTGTATGTGGCCCAGCTCGAGGTCGTAGGTTCAATTCCTGTCGGGGACTCAGATCTTTTTCTTTGTCCCATGCTCGCGACATGTTGATCAAATCATTTCTCATGAAGAATTAGATCAAAACGGGAAATGGCTGAGTCAAGGTTACAGCAGAAATAAGGGCCGCTCCAGAAAATCGGCTCTTGTCCCCTGATTCATTACTCCTTACCCCGAAAACTGCTCAATTACGAAGTCAATGTAGTCCCTTTGAGTCGTTCTCTTTCTAAACCTTAGGCATGTCTTCTCTTCCCAATTCTTGATTGCGTTGTTGATATAGTGGATCTTAAATGGCCTTTCTGAAATAAAAGCAAAGTAACTAAACTAGTTAATGGCCTAATGCTTAAAGAAAAACAATTGCGCTGAATGCAATATAATACACTTGAGTGCTATTCCAAAGAAACGATGAAGAAAGCTTTCGGCACAATTTACGTTCAATTCAGTGATGAACAAGGAGTCTCGATCTGTCCCCGAAAATTTAGCACAAAAACTTTTTGATTCTTGTTCTCTGATTTGAGAATTTCAAAGAAGTAAAAGCTACTAACTACTTCAATTAGCACATTCCATCAGAAAACGAATGCGAGTCTTGTTTGATGTCTTAAATTGCCTTGATGGTGATCGGGATTAAAAAAAAAAAAAATCAACCAGGCGCTCCACTCGCCCCATAATATTGTAAGGGAATCCGGATTCCGCAATTTTCCTGTGTAATTCGGAATCTTGGACTTTGGAATCTGCAATACACTGAACTCAAGGAATCTGGATCCCGCTAACGACTGGAATCCTAATAAACCAATTCCTCTCAAAAAAAATCTGGAATCCGCGAAGCGTGGAATTCACAATCCAAGAGTGTCTTGGTTTCAATTTTATTACCCGGGGGCGAGCTCTATCGCTCTACTCTACTGCATGTACGTGGCGGCCTTAACACTTTATATCTTCAGGTAATAGGAGTTCTCACTTACTTGTGCTTATAGTGTAATAAACTATTCCACCAGGCCATTGCCTGTTTCGAGACAGCCCTCGAACTCCTCCGACATTTGTAGGGTCCATGCCATTCTTAGCTGCTTCAATTTGTTCTTTCGGTAGCCATAGATCACCTTCAAACATTTCGTATTCCCTAGAAGCTTCAAGATCAAAGGAAAGGAGAAGAGAATTAGGTAAAGACGCGAGTGGGGCAGTAAAAAATTAGCTAAGAAAAGCAAGGAGTATCACTCCTAGCTGTCCTTTCAAATGGTTTACATTGCCTGGTGGGCCGTTTATCATTCTGCGGTTTCAGAAAAACTGATCTCATTCTTGCACACGGGTTGAGGTGAAAGTTGAATCAGAAAATGTGAATCCGCGCAATTCGCCCCTGTTCAGCTTGGTAGGCTCTTATCTTGTACATGAACCAGATCTCGCGTTCCTCCCTCACATATCTACGTCGTTTGAAAGGAGCCTATCAAAAAAGTCGAATTTTACTACTTGACCAGATCCTGCGGTGGCCCCGTACCGCGCCGAGCGGTGTGGTGTCATGGAGGGTAAAAACTGCATTGACAAGGAATTCTGCTGTTGGAGCAACAGATTAATTTTAAATTTGAGTCACCTACCTCGTTTGGTCCTGTTACCAACATCATAATCATTCAAGCTGGCTGCCAGAGATGACGTCGCAAAAAGGAGAACGCACAGGAACAACATCTTGATCAGAGTGCGACAAAAGATCAGAAAAGTGCGCTCTTTATAGCAGATGATCTAAAAATCTTTTAATTAAATGGTTTGCCTGAACAAACGCAGGACGCTCGAAGTTTTTTGTTTCAAAAGAGTTGCTAAAACTTTGAGTATAGCTGTTAATATTTTTCAATTATCACCAACAAAATTCAATTTATTTTATAATTTAATCCACAAAACTGCTGCAGTTGACTAAATCAAGAATACATAGAAAGCCCAACAAAAGACATTGTTGTTTTCCATTCAATAAAAATTATATTAGTTCAGGCACTACATGCAGTTTCATTAAAAGCTAATCCCAAATCCGTGATTTTTTACTCAGATACCGAACTTAATATTTTGCAATTTATAAAGTATTTTTTTTAGGTTAAAACAATTGTTATTGATAAAAAGGAAAAGCAATTTGTACTTATCCTACTTAAAGAATTGGAATGATAATTCCATTTGTGCTATCAGGCAATCGGGCATGATATTCGTTTGTTGCTGTGACATCGTGTCTGTGAAGGTGGGGGTGGGGGGGGGAAACTTAAAGGTATAAAAATATAATATTAACAAAAGAGAAATCAAAAGCTACTGAGAAACCTATTAAAAGGCTCCATAAGTCACTCTGGGAGTCAATGGGTTGACAAAGGAACAGACCTGCCAACCCCTGATCGAACTGGCGATTCTACAAAAAAAGTAGTAGGATTCTCATTTTTTCAAGAACAACATTAAACGAACTCATTTTCCATTGGCGAAATAATTGTTTATTTAACTAGAACCTTGTTTTAGCGTGGTCCCACCTGTAACAAGATGCCATTTTTTACTTCTTTGATCATGATGACTCTAGGGGGCCACGGAAGAGGTCATCACTGCACGAAGCTTACATCAAAGGGTCGTTTCTTCCGGATAATTAAGTATAACAACAATAATAATGACAAAGTCATGGCCAAAACGTATAGTCTAAGCATAAACAGGCACTTGTCTAGCATTCCTCACGAAATTTTCGTTTTTATTCAGATCAGTAAGGGAACATTTCATTTCAGAACGATATTTTCCAAAAAGCCGTGAGATTTAAAGTCTTGAGGCCGTGAGAAAAGTTAAAAAATCGTGAGACTCACTGCAGAATCGTGAAAGTTGGCAGGTCCGAAGGAGCTAGGTGAACAATAGTCTGAGCGTAAGCGTCGATAAGGGATGTAGAGGAAGAGATAAGGGAAGGGAGTCAGGATAGTGAGCGGTAGTTTAGTTTTCAAATTATTCGAATCCGTATTCATTATCAGCTAACGGGGACCTTTAATCTTTAGCGTCTTCGACGGCGACGGCAGATCGAGACTTGAAAATTTGCGAAATTTTAAGAATATCTTAAGAATAAACCCCAGGCTAAGCTTCTGAAAAGGATACATTTTTTTTGTGTTGAATATCTATAAATACAATTAATATACGAAAAACTGTTTTTAACTCTGACTCCTTTCTCTAAACGGCAAAAGTAGCCAACAAAACGAAAACACATGCACTAATTTACATTATTGATATTCCAATACACTCTGAAATGTCATAAGCTATAATTTAAGAATAATATAAGAATATTTCCAGTCTAAAATCGGCAGAAAAATAAAGATGGTTTCTTTCAATTTGTCAAATGTTGTCAAATTTTTCTGGTATTAAATTCTGAAAGACTGTGATCTAAGGGCAGGGAAAGAAAAATAATTAAATCCTTTTCTCGTGTTCACGTCCTTCATCAACGTGAAACTAAGACGTTTCACGTCGTAGTCGTGTAACTGCGGTTTACTTAATTATCGGTACATGCTGAGGGTGTCGGTTAACCTTTGTGAGTGAACTAAGCGAAAAAGATTAGTGTTGCGAAAAAAGTTTGTTTCAGCTGGACGAAATGTATAATAAAGGGCTAGTCGTCTGGTGGAAACCTTATTTACAGTACGGCTGAAATCCGTGGCCGAGTTATTCAAAGCTGGGTTAAGATAACCCATGGTTAGTGCGAGATTTGATACAGATATAAAAGCTTAAAAAGCATTTCAGATCAGTTGTAATTCTTTTTGTCTACAAGTTGATGATTGGAAGCTCTAAAAATAACAGAGAAAATTATCCGATAAAATACTTCTAGACACAATAAAGAGAAACCAGGGTTAAATTTAACCCCGGGTTAAGCGCTAATCGGCCTTCGACCAACTCAGGGCCCGGATGTTTGCTGAAAATGATTTGATGAATTTTTCTTTTCTAAAATTTTGTCCTGAAAAAATATATTAATACATAGCTATACTTTTGTCGCTCAAGCTTCTGCTTTAGAAAGTAACATTATATATATAAAGGAAGACATCAAATGCAATATATCATATTCACTCTGGAGAATTTGCCTGCATTGTACTGGATAGTTTTTCATCTCGACATGAGAAGCTATTCGGTATAGTTGGCACGGAAACCTATTTGATATGAAATGATCCAATTTCAAGATCGGCGAGGTGCAGCTTGTAGCTTGCTCCCGCCCCAATCTCCTCGCGGTTTTTCTGCCCTCGCCCGCCTTTATTACTTAGCAACCAAAACCGCCATGCTACGCAGGCTATGCAGCTTGATGCTTCGTCACAGAAACGAATCAAATTAAATCACCGTCCGCTGCATGTGTGAACAAAAGCCTTTAGTTAGATATCTGGCACCGTGTAAGGGAGTCCAAGTACAGTCTCGGATTCTGGATCTCACTCCGTGGATTCCGGATTCCTTGTACACGATTTCAGTCTCTATCAGTGGAACCTGGATTCCAACCGTTAATGGGATTCCGGACCCTTTGAGCTGTATTCCTGCTTTTAAAGCCCAGGTTTCCGGTTTCCATAAGAAAAACTTTTCTGAATTCCTCAAGCAAAAAATTTCCCGGCATCCGCAATCCCTTGCATGGGATGAGTTATCCGATATTGATACTGCGCTTGCGCAAGGGCTATCTCAGTGATTACAGACTCAGACTTGAATTTTTCTTATATATTAAATAATACGAGTTGGTTTCAATTAGCTACTCCTTACTACAACGAAAGGTGATGTTTTTGTTTAAAGTGACTGGCCGAAGTAAAGCGATCCTATTTGACGTAGGTTATTATCCCACTCATGAAGTTATTATGTTGCTCACTACGAATGCACTAAACTGAAGAAAATGAAATACAAAATACAAATAGAAATAGAAATTAAATTTCTTATATATAAGGGCTCTTTTATTAAATTTTTCAGTAAGTGCACTATGATGCAAGGGACGGGACGGCTTTTCTCTTAAAAGTTGCTGTTCGAACTATACGCAAATATTGCCTAGAAATTAAGAGAGGCTAAAAAATTCCATATATTCGGAGTTTTTCTTCTGACTGTTTTTCACATTTTATTATGATTATTTTAAAGACAGTTTATTTACAACAGTTAAAAGGGATAAAAAGTTCTAAGCTAGGGATGTGAAGGGGCACCGAGTTTTTGTGAAAAATGGTTTATAAAAGGGTGAGAGGTTGGCCCCAGTGAGCCAGCCTCCTCGTATAAAATTCCGGGAAGGTGGGACTTGCGTGTGCATTTGACACGTGTGCGCAGGGATAAATGCAAACTGGATAAGCGAAAACTTACTGTGAAAAATGTTCGTGCCGCATGATTCTTGTTCACACTATATGCGAAGTAAACCCAAGTGTAAGCATTCATTCATTCATTCTTTATTTGCCAAATATACAAAAATTTTACAATGCAAGGTTGGAATAATGAGATTAAAGAAAAAGTAAATGGCGAGGAGACCTGAAAGAAACCACCAGGCTTATAATGTTCACACAACAAAGGCATTTGTAAGCCCCAGTGAGACAAGCATGCACGTTGTAGCATCCTTAACCCAAATATGGCGGATTGTTAACTTTTGTTACTGCACCTACAACCGAGGCGTTGTTTTGGTCGACGTCTTAATCATAAACGCTGAGGGCGTCTATTACTTTTTGGGGTCCAATCAGGGGCGTCTAATAGATAGGAGGCGCTAAAAACTAGAGAGGCGTTTATTCTGATAACTGTTACAAGTTCAACAAAACTAATATCCTTTCGGCGAAAATACCAGAGAGTTTAAAAATAACGGAATATTCACACCATCAATTGACACATCTTGGCCGTCTAGAGATCCACATCGCTCCCTTTCAAATCCCAACATTAATGTCAGAATCCTTGCTAGGGCTTATTGACGTGTTGTCATCATTAGCTAGGCTATCCTTACTTTGAACTTCAAGACATTGAACAAGATGAAATACGCAAACCCTGGTTAATCAAGCAAGAAACTAAAATGAATTGAATGATTTTGCTCCTTTTTGCTAATTCTCAGTACATTGGAGTACAGTAATTCTGATAAGGGGCGTCTATCAGACAGGGGGCGTTTATTAGAGAGAGGTGTCTAATACAATAATAATAATAATAATAATAATAATAATAATAAGGTTACTGATATGACTGTTCCATCAGATAGAAACATCGCACTGAAGGAAACTGAAAAAAAATGCAAGTGCGAAGACCTAGAACTAGAAATACAGAGAATGTGGCATATGAAAACCGTAGTGATCCCTGTGGTTGTTGGTGCGCTTGGTACAGTGAAGAAGGGTATGGTAGAAAACATCAAGAAAGTATCAGAAAGAGTTAATATGACAGAGATTCAAAAGATCTGCATGCTGGGATCTGCACGAATCCTCAGAAAGGTGCTCAGTGTATGAACAGAATGATTGACTTGAGTGGCTGACGCTCTAGGTGCATGGTTTGCGCCCGGCTGATGCACAAAAAGACACCAGCAAAGACTGTGATAACAGAGACAATCATGATAATAATAATAATGATAATAATAAAACAGCGTACAGGGGGCGTTGATTGGATAAGAGATGTTTATTTGGAGTGAGCATTTATAAGGTCATTCACGGTATTTTATGCTGTGGTAAATTTAACAACATCAACAGAGACCAAAAGATATTGTTAATATCTGTTTATTTTTCAATAATCCCGGCACCCTTTGCAAACTGGTTTTCTTGATCATCGAAAGTACAAGTTGACCTGAAAGGAAAAAAATGACGCCATTTTTATTTGCACAGAATAGACAGTAGCATACCTTGCGTGTCACTCAGTATTGGAGATGGGTTATTACTGTGAAAGGTAGATTTCTGAGTGCCCCCATAAACTACAGTCAACTCCTGATAACTCGAACCTTCTAGGGAAATCGAAAAAGGTCCGAAATAGCGGGAGTTCGAAGCTTTAATAACCGGAAGCGAGAAAATGGGATGGGGAATGAATCCAAGTAACATGCACTCTTCAGAACTTGAGATAGTGCTGGACACTGTATTTAAACTGGACTGACAAAAAAGTAAAGACAAAGAATTTATTGTTGTTTCGGAGTCCACTTCACTTAACATTGACTTGACTTGACTTATCAGGCGCTTAAAGCATGGTTCGAGTTAAAATACTCACCTCCCTCCTTCACTTATTGCATTTGTAGAGCAGATTCGCCTGTTTGGCGTCCAGCGGACTGAGGCGTCTGCTGGGACTGATTTTTTTCCCAGGCTTTTTGGCTCTTAAGGTGGGCAGAAAAACATATTTGCTGAAATCAAATCGTCCATAATGCATCACGGATTCGTAGTCGTACTCGACGCCCAAACTGTCTATCATGTAATTTGGGTACTTCTGGAACTGGCCTTCCTTTCCTATGTAATTTTCGAGAAAAATTAATTAGGCAAAAGGCTAACAGGAGTTTCAGTTTCAGTTTCAGTTTTAGTTTATTGTTTTGCCAGAAGTTGTATAAAGCAAGGAAATCTAGTTATTATTTAAACTCTCATGGCAAGCGAGGAAGCCCAAGAGAAGTCACCAGGCTTATAAGGAATGGGTTCCCTCAGTTAAATAACAAGAACAAAATATTATCATAAGTACACATGGAAAAATCAATGGCAGAGCTACAGTAAATCTTAAAATATATTAGATAGTCTAAAAAAAAGCGAAATGACAAAAAAACAAAAAACAAAAACAAAATCAAAAACAAAAAAAAATATTTATGATAAGCCGAATACATTCACCTTACAGCAAAAGGAAGCGGTTCTTGTTGCATTTCGAATTTCAAAACTAGGACCTTGGAAACTGATGGAGAACTTTCTTATATTAGTCCCACATTGTGGTAAATAAAAAAGCTCCGAACTTCTTCTGCCATAAGAATGCACCTGGCGTGTCACCAAAAACATATTATTGAAGCTATAAGGAAGTAAGCCAGATCTGTATTGATACATAAGTTTTCCTATTTGAAGTTTGCAGATATTCTCGAGATTCAGAATTTTTAAATTTTTAAATAAAGGGTCAGTGTGAGCATCACTTAAACAGATTGATATAAATGAAGCAATGAAAACTAGCAGAGATTTCTCTGCCTGAACTTCTCAGTTTTAAATCCAACAACCACAGGGATCTTTTCTGTTTTCATCTGCCACATTCTCTGTATTTCTAGCTCTGATGGTCTTCCTACTTCCTTTTCTTTTCGATTTCCTTCAGTTCCGGATGACTGTGTCTGATGGGACAACCATATCAATCAGTTTCCAGGTGGAATTCACTGAATCTTTAACGAAGGATGTCCGGTCCGTTCGCTGTTATAGTTCTATCATTATTATCATGATCAATGTTATTATCATTATCATATCATTATTATTATTATTATTACTGTTTACCTTTCATTATGTTTTTCCAAATAACCTCCACATATTCATCACGGTCTGGGCGACTTTGTTCGTGCCAGAATCCTGTTAATGTGATGACAAGTCAAACATTGGCAGATGGTTGTCTAATAACTAACAAATAAAATGACCTACGCCTGCCTACGCCCGTAGCTTTTCGACTTAATTTCAAGAGGTGTAAAGGGGGTTCAAGAGGGAGCGCATAACGACTCTACAGCTCTCACTAATTCTGAAGAAAAAGAGAGACTGCTCCCAGTCTACCATTGATAGGTCTAGGCTGTCTGAAGACCTATTGGGAAGGGGGGGTGGGTGGGTGGTTGTACTCCTAAGAATTCTTGGTGGGTGTGCCCCGGTTCTCCAAAACCTGACCCTATTTTAGACCAGAAAATGTCATTTTTCACACCAGTTTTCAGACCAGACCCCTAAGATCCAAACCCGTTTTCAGGCCTTCTTAGATTAGAGCGCAAACAAAACTTTTTCGAATTTATTTCGAATTCGAGTATTTCTACTTCGTTCTTATTCATTTGGGATGAAACGATAAATACGTTTATACACTCCCGTAGTTCCCTCGAAAACCATACCCGTTTTCAGACCAAAAAGGACCAAAAACCCTGCCCATTGGGACGCACATAACTTTATACAGGGAGTATCTCCCCGGGACACCCATCTAGCTTTTTCAAATATGAACTCAGCAAAGTTTTACCCGTGGATGTCCCGCCCCAAGATCCAACCCCTCACCCTTTTACACACCATTTCGAACAGAATAGGTGCATCACATTTTGTACACCTTCCACTGAAAAATGCTATTCGCCCACATACCTACTTCTAACACTTATTTTCATGTTGGGTTATATGAAATAAATGCTAAAGCCATGAGCTACACTTGTTGAACCTTATTATGCACTCTAACTCTTCAAATCCTTAACTTTTCGTATACCTGAATCCTGAAAAAGGTACCCCTTTTGGGCGGAGCCTTCCCTTATAAGCTATAATAGGGAGCGCCCCCCCGGAAATATCATCACTGTTGTTGCGATACAAATCACGTGATAAGATCGCTCAGTTAAAACTATTAACATTCGTTGGGGCTCCACACTTACCAATGGCGTGACCAATCTCGTGAACTGCAACATGCAATCCTATGCAGGAAAAACCGAGGTTAATTACCTGCCTTCCGCCAACACGGCCAATACCTCGACTATAACACCTGCAAAAATAAAGACCAGATGTTTTTCTGTCGGTTTGCTAAAAAACACTTTTAAGATTGGACAAAGGACTATTTAAACTGCCAACAAAATTGATGTGGATCTTTCTCCTTTTGTCTGCAGCCGAAACAGGTTTCTTTTTCACATGAAATTATCACACGCATGACGAATTCGACATTGTTTATCCTAGTACTACGCAGGACGCATGTTATACATGAACCTTGTATGTGGCCCTGCTCGCCACGAGCCCTTCGTAGCTCAGTGGTTAGAGCATCCGACCGGTGTGCTGAAGGTCATAGGCTCAATTCCGATCGGGGACTCAAATTTTTTCTTTGTCCATGCTCGTGAGATGTTGATCAAATCATTTCTCAAGAAATAATATTTCTAAAGAAATTAATTCAAAACGGTAATGGGCTGACTCTCGGGTTACAGCAAAAATCAGGGCCGCTCTTCTCTACTCATTACTCCTTACCCCGAAAACTGCTCAATTACGAAGTCAATGTAGTCCCTTTGAGTCGTTCTCTTTTTAAACCTTAGGCATGTCTTCTCTTCCCAATTCTTGATTGCGTTGTTAATATAGTGGATCTTAAATGGCCTTTCTGGAATAAAAGCAAAGTAACTAAACTAGTAAATGGTGAGATGCTTAAAGGAAAACGATTGCACTGAGTGCAATATTATGCACTTGAGTGCACGATAGTGAAGCTTTTCTAACATCTATACGTTCAATGATTCACATGACCAAGGAGTCTCGATCTGTCTCCAAAAATTTTGCACAGGAACTTTTTCTGATTCTCGTTCTCTGATTTGAAAATTTTAATTAAAGAAAATAAAAACCACTACATCTTACTCATTCAGCTATAATTAGCACATTCCATCAGAAAACGAATGCGATGTTGATGGTTATAAAGAAAAATCCAACTGGGCGCCTTACTCGCCCCAGTGAAAGGGAATTCGGATTCCGGAATCCGGTAAATGTTTGCTTGGAAATCTGCCGGAACCAGGCTGGGAAATTTCTTGTGGAATTCGGAATCTTGAATGTTGGAATCCGCAATACACTGAGCTCAAGAAATCCTGATCCTGCTAACGATTTGAATCCAAATAATCCATATTCCCTGGACAAAAAATGTGGAATCCAGTTCCTTGAATCCGGAATTCGCAGCTTGGAATTCACAATCCAAGACCGTCTTGGATTCCCTCACATGGGGCAGAGCTCTACTGTTCTACTGTGCTACATGTACGTGGCAGCCTTATAATAAATTTTAAAAAAATAACACTTTATATCTTCAGGTAATGGGAGTTCTCAATTACTTGTGCTTATAGTGTAATAAACTATTCCACCAGGCCATTTGTTGTGGCGAGAAAGCCCTCGAACTCCGCCGATATTAGTAGGATCCAAGCCATTCTTCGCAGCTTCAATTTGTTCTTTCGGTAACCATAGATCACCTTCAAACATTTCGTATTCCCCAGAAGCTTCAAGATCAAATGAGAGGAGAAGAGAAGTAGTTAAAGATGCGAGTGGGGCAGTAAAAAAGCTGTGAAAAGCAAGTATCATTCTTTGCTAATATATAGATTTAGCCAGGAATAAAAGCTGAGCTCTAGTCGTAACATTTATAATTTAAATCAAACAATAAATTTTTTAATTATCCACAAATCAGTTAACTGGAGAGATCCAGTTAACTGATTTGTGATTTGGGTGATTTTAGAGAAAAGATAAGGAAAGAACATCTAAAATCTTACATTGACTTGTCTTAAATGTACAACCAAAAAAATAGCAATCACCTTTGGCGACTAGATTAGGCGTGGAAAACAAATTCTTCCCAAGCAAAATTACCTATTTGCCCACCTAGACCGTCCTTTATAGAATAAGATCTATTGGATAGTCCCGAAATATAATTTAATAACTTTTTGGTCCTCGCTGGCAGCCATTCTAACTTGTCGATTTTATCTCTCTGTCTAAAGGAAAGGCCAAAAAGAAAAATCACGTCCTTTTTTGTGTGGCTCGCTACGAGTTTACTTTACAAATCTTGTTGCGCGTATAATTATATCATCTCTGAGGTAAACGGAACTATCAGGCTATGTTTCTTTATCGTTCAGACCTCGGACAGAGATATTATCATTTCTTGCCCAATTCTACCTGTAATTTTGCAGTTTTTCACAGTCTGAGAACAATCTAGCACGACAAATTACACTCATTCACTATTTAGGACGATCGAAGCACGTGCCCTTGCACAACAAATTATAGAAATGACAACAACATAAAACGTTTTCAAATAGCTGAGAATTCACTATTAGACGGGACTGTTCAGTCAGGTCAATCTTCTATTAGGTGAGCAAAAACTTAAAAACTTAAAAACAAAAATCTTATTTTTATTCAGTTTCAAAAATTACCCGTCGGGCCGGCCACTTCTGAATTTTGAGAAGCGCCAAGCTCGTAGTGCGAGCTGTCTGGTCTATAAAATTCTCAGACATATTTTTCTTCCGACAAAATTGGTCTCCTTTTCTTGTTATCTCTCGTTCTAGTTCCTCGGCCTTGTTGTTGTTGTTGTTGTTTTTGTTATCTCTGAGAGTCCGGGTGGCTATGCGATTTCAGCTGAAACGCGCGGGTACTTGAAATGCAAAATTTCAGCCCGGCTTACATGAAGGGGTGGCGGTACCTACGGACGTATGGACGATCTTCTCATAACCAATTGAAAATTTCTTGGATGCATAGATAACCAAATTTTCTTACCTATGGTGCTTCGCTGCGCGCCCTTTGCGCACGCGAGAGCTCAGCTATAACATACCCCTCCCCCACCCAACAGACTGGCTCCCGACTCCCTTCCCCCTCCCTCAGCGTCTGTACGGACGTACGGGCGTACGGTTACGTGATTGCCAAAATTTCTTGGATGGATGGATAACAAAATTTTCTTGGGTCTTAGCTGTCCTTTCAAATGGTATACATTGCCTGGCTGGCCGTTTCTTTCATTCTGCGGTTTTCAAAAAAACTGATCTCATCCTTGCACTCGGGTGGCGTAAAAGGTGAATCAGAAAATGTGACTCCGCGCCTGTTCAGCCTTGTAAGCTCTAATCTCTTACGCGATGAACCAGCTCTCTCGTCACTCCCTCACAATCTACGTCGTCACACAAAGGGGCCAACTAAAAAGAATCGAATTGTCTTACTTGACCAGATCCGCCACAGCTGCCCTGTCGAGCGGTGTGGTGTCATGAAGGGTAAAAACTGCCTAGTCGAGTAATTCTGCTGTTAGAGCAACAGATTAATTTTACATTTGAGTTACCTACCTCGTTTGGTTCTGTTAACAACATCATAATCGTTCAAGCCGGCTGCCAGAGATAACGTCGCAAAAAGGAAAATGCACAGGAACAACATCTTGATTAGAGTGCGACAAAAGATCAGAAAAGTGCCCTCTTTATAGCAGAGGATCTAAAAATCTTTTAATTAAATGGTTTGCCTGAACAAACGCAGGACGCTCGAACTTTTTTGTTTTAAAAGAGTTGCTAATATCTTTGAGTATAGCTGTTAATATTTTTTAATTATCACCAACAAAATTCAATTTGTTTTATAATTTAATCCACAAAACCGCTGCAGTTGACTAAATGAAGAATTCATATAAAGCCAAACAAAGACGGCTAAATTGACAGTCAGGAGACAAACTGTTTATATTCCTTGCGAGAAAGATTATCAGTTAAGCTATTACGATTTCATTACTAGCCCCAGTATTAGCCGTCATCCTTGATCTGTTACTTGAGGTTACCGAAACCGAAGTTTGAATTAAAAATTCTGCAATTTTTATCGAAAAAAATATTTTGCTGGGTGGTTCCAACCCCCCCGGCTACTTATTCTTATTATTAAAAACTGGACAATTAAATAATGCAATTCTACATCTCTCATTGCCTTAACCATCATGGTATATGAGCCATTATACCATGCTCTCCATATATTGTACATGTTATTGTACGCGTCTGCTCAAAACTAAAAACAAGCTGGTAGCGGTTGTTTTTACAAATAAAGTCGGGAAGAATTCTCGATATTTTGTGGGCGTTTTTAACAAAACAATTAATCCGATCCACTCGCGCTTGTTGGATATGAGATGATTATAGATAACTCTTATCCAATGCGCACTCGTGGAATAATGGTTAAATAACCACATGCACTGGAACTTACCATATTAGGAAGATGCGAGCAATATGACATCGATTCGACTTGATAGGCTGCTAAACGGGTCAGAAACACTCAAGAACACGCACATTCTATTGCTCGATGGATGTTATCAACTTTTTGACGAGCATTCAGTGCAAGAAAAAAAAACCATCTGTTTATATTCTGAAACTTTACCGAGAAATGAGCCACAGCTTGGACGAAAGGCTACGACGGGCTACTGTAAGCTTTTAAAAGAACCCTGAAATATTTTGAAGGAATTATGCTGATCTCGTTGGCTGTTGTCCACTTCCGCGACCCAATCTTCATATAATAATATTCTTTACCTCATACAAAAGCCGAATTCAAAAATTCTAGTTGATAATTCCATTGGAGCTAACAGCTATGATGTCTGTGCGTTGATGTAAATAATTACCGAGCAGAAAATTAAGGGTATAAAAATATTTAACCATTTTAACGACTGCTAACATTTTTTGCTTTCCATCCTGCCAGACTTATCCAGATTTACAATGTCCAGATATACTGCCTTGATTTAAACTGTTTTTCCCTTAAGTTACAGTTTTTTTAGAATGTACTTGCTATAAAAGCAAAAACGGATAATTGTCTTATTCGCAGCTAAGGAGGCCGTGGTGAGTTGCGCACTTTTACGAGCGTGAAAGGTCAAGGCCATGAAAAGATTGAAATCTACTGCTGGTAACAACAGGCCTTCTACTGAGCTTAAACCTCTTATCAGATTCTCAATGCTTTTCAAAACTGGCCAAAAAAGAAAATTCAGTTTGGATTTGTCAAATGTTTGAAAGCTGAATGAGGAAAAAATGACTTTATTTGAATTAATGGTCACGCCAAAGAAGGGCTCTGAAAGCTCTGATAACCCTACTGAAAGACTCTATCCTTTTCTCTGAATGGGTTCAGTTTGTTTGACTGGAAAGCGTCGAAAGGGGTGGGAGAGGAAGAGAAGAAGGAAGCCGGAACTGCTTACTAAGCAGTGATTTGGAATTTAAATTTTTCGATCAGTCGTCGAGCTTTGCTTACCAGTTCGATCAGTCATAATGCAGTTAAACTGTGGACTAAGGTCAGTGACAATTAGGATTCAGTATGCTTTTCGGTTTGTACCTCCTTGACTATCAACATGCAGGGTATGTAATTCCAAGTGAAATGTCCTGGTCCCAGTAGTTCAAGAACTGGATAGCGCTATCCAACGGATCACTATCCAGTGGATAAGTATAAGGGAAACCAATTGCGCTATCCACTGGATAGAACTACCTTCTGAACAACTGGGGCCAGGTGAGATTAGGCAACTATAAGAAAACGCATTCCCCATATTGATTTTGGGCTGTCGTCAGTATTTATTTCTTGTTGCATTCGTAATACAAGTTCATTTGTTTTACGTCCAATGGGCTTAGGTGCTTCCGCTGGCCTATTGAAACGCCTGACCTCTTGGGCTTTATAGTAGTTAAGAGGTAAGGAAACTTGGAAAAGTCTCGCTTCCCATAATGCATTATGGATCCATAGTCATAGGGAACGTTCAGACTGTTGATTGAGGATGTAGAGTACTTCCTGAAGTTGTGCTTTTGCGCTGTTCAGAATAAAAACAACAAAAACAAAAATAAAAAAATTAATAAGAACAGAAACACCAGCAGAAAATACTTATGAATGTTATTATAAGGTCATGTAATCTTTAATAAAATTGTAACGATGACAAAAAATGTAGCCCTTTTATCCAAGAGTTATTCGCGAAGGTCAGATCCTATCCCTCCACTGGTGCGACGCTATCCTGACTCCAGATATATAATCGATCTCTAAATGTCTCGGATGAAGTAAAACTATCCGCTCGTGGTATTATTTTTAATTCAGTGTCTTTCATATTAATGTTTTAGTATAGGTAATAGCATGATTTGTAGTGTTATTTGGCATAAATACCACGAGTGATATTTCGAAATTGTTATACGTAATTTCACGAGCCGTTAGGCGAGTGAAATTTGAGACCATTTTGAAATATCACTCGTGGTATTTATGCCAAATATCACGTACAAATCATGCTATTATTTGTTCACACTACTACCCGCAAAGGGTTTGTAATTTTCACATGCAGGTATTTCAAATTAAGCTGAAATACCACTGCTCTAAGCGAATCAAATTGCAGAAATTTTTCGTGTAGTGGTATATAATTTGATGGGTTGCGTGGAACTCAGAAGAATTTGAAGTAAGTTAAGAGTGCCTAGCTTGTCGACTCGCTTAGGGGTGAGAGAGCCTCTACCACGCCAAAGAAAGGGCATCCTTAATTAATACGTGTAATTTTAATATTTAAGAATAAAGTTTAAGCGATAAAAGTTCAACATGACGTATTGATGTCGCCATGACATCATCATCAAGTGCCAAGGTTAAAACTAAAACTGACCTGATACATGCGGTTTAAGTGACAAATTTAATACTCCAACAAGAACAAATCTTTGTCAACTTACATGGTTCAATGTTGTCCCATACTATCTCCACATACCGGTCACGATCTGGTCGACTCTGCTCATGCCAAAACCCTGTTTAATTGGGGAATAATAGCACCCTAGTCTACTTCGGGTCAATTTTTCTTTCCTGTGAGATTTAAATGGGCTTTAAAAATAAAGGAAATGTTTTTACAGAATCTATAAAGGAGAAACGTTAACACTGACAATAGTCGGTCTAGTATATAATTACTCATGTTTTCATATTATTTTGTATCATGCTGATTTTTTGCAAAAGAAAATGAAAAGAATAATTTACAGCCATTTGAGTCGAAAAGGGCCAAAAGGCTGTTTTTTTTTTTGCACCCGATAAGTTCGAAAATCAGGAAGAATGAACTCTTTCAACTGCTATAATGCACTTTCTTTAGATATAAATAAATCACGAAAAAAAATTTCCTCGACTTTTTCACAGCAGTAAAATCGTTTTGTGGCCCGATGGAAATGACAGATTTCCCTTCCCTTTCATATACCGGTCGGAAGCATGAAAAAGGTACTCCTTTCGAGCAGAGCCTCCCCGTATAGGCCATTAGAGGGAGTATATACCCCCGGGTTCCCTTGTGTGATTTTTAATCTGTAAGAGGTGTTATTGTAAGCGTTCAGCTCATTGATGAAGTTCAGTATTTCCCACGATGAATACAAAATTTAAGGCACGTAACTTTGTACCTAGTGCATGTCCAATTTCATGTACAGCTATCCCATGATACCCGCAGCCAAAACCCAGCGAAATTTGCTGCTTCCGTCCAGTTCTGCCAACTTGTGACCAGCATCTTAACAAAAAATACAAAAAATCAGTGTTTGTATTAGAGAGGCCTCCGTGTCACAGAGGTCAGACGATGAGTCAACACTTACCCAGGGACCGAATAGCTTTAAAATTGATTAAGGGCCTGTGTACATGAAGGTGGGGGACCTCAGGTGGGTGAGGTAACATGTGGCGGGTTACCCCACCTAACATGTAAACGTGATCACATTAAAATGAGAGATTATATGGACAGGCCGGTTACTCCACCTAAGCGGGTTACCTCACCCATCTGGGGTACCCTAACTCCATGTAAACAGACCCTAAAATACACTTCCTTATTGGCAGTCCAGACTCTATGGGAGCTCGTTGGAATGTAAACTTTAACGATAAGAAAAAATGTATGGTCGAGAATAAAGAAAATACGGCTTTTTGAAAAGATTTGACATAAAAATTACTCGTCTTTTGTTTTTGCTGTGTAAAATTCTATCACAGTATTTCCCTCATGAATGGAAGCGTCGGCTCCGTCTTTATTCACATTCAAAGCATACGATATAAAAGCACAAAACTGAACGGCATTTAAACTTCAACATACCATTTCCAGGTCTGTACGTTGGTTTTGCTGAATGGTTTTGTTTTGCTGGTTTGCGAGACTTCTGCTATGTTCTAAATTCGCCTCGAAAAATGAACCGGTCTGATTGGCACAATTGGTTGGAAAAAAAATGTAATATGCGTTCATGTGTGACAGCTGAGTTGATTCACATTAAAGGTAACTAAAGAAATAAGCAAAGCTAACAAAGTATTTAGAACCATTTCAGCTGCATGTGCTTCTTTGCATACCCGTCTTGCACAGTGAACTCGATGTAAGCCTTTTGCGTTGTCCTTTTTACAAATTTAATGCACGTCTTCTCTTCCCATTCTTTGATGGCACTGAAAATAGCCCCCCTCTTGAAAACACTATCTGCATGGAAAAAGTCTCCGTGTTAAAAAGGTTGTAGCTGTAATTTCACGTTAATTACAAACATGTAAAAAAATCTATTTTGTACACCGTCGGAAAGGATTCATTTCGTACGAGTCTTATATGTTTTTATTCCAGTGCATGCAAATAGGCCCTTTGTAGGTGATCATTCACGTGGTTGAAAACCGTAATCCTGGGAAGTAACAAAATCACAGGGACTGGACGAAGAAAATTCCATTTTAAATGAAATGCGGCTCTTTGTTTTCCTTGTCCCAGCGGGTCCAAGAATGGCACGGTATTTTACCACGTGACTGATCCCTTGCAGAGGACCTACTTTATTTTGAAAAGTTTGGCGGAGGGTGACAATTTTAAGGAAGCTTTCTTTCGAAAACAAGAGAAAGATAGAAATACCTACGACATGTCTTCATCACGAGCCCTGCAGCACGAATGTAATTATATGGAAGGGTAAGTACGCCTTTACCTGCTAAAATTACTCAGGTTTTTCCAAGAGTCATAACGGGACAGTCTCTGTCTCATTGTGGCTCTTAGGTTTTTCCTTGTAGGTGAAATGCCGTTTCATCTCTGAACTTTTGTGAAGAAGAAGGCATTGTAATTCATTGAAGCAATTACCTGCATCTTCGTCTAGGGTGTAAGGAACAACTCCTCCAGGCCATTTGCGATATTTCGAATTGCTCAGTCCACGTTGTTTACCAACTTGCGTAGGGTCCATTCCGTTCTCCGCCGCTTCAATCTCCTCCTCAGATAACATCATATCTCCCTCAAAAAGGCGATTTTTGGTACCTTCTGAATCGGTAAATTATTTAGTATACAGAACACGAGTATGAATCACTAGTACATTTGGAAACTATCCATCCAAAAGCCTGCGAATACAGCCATTTATCCACATTGTTGGTGACGTTTCAACCGATGGAGACCGATGAGGTGACTGCATTGGTAGGCTATCGATCTAATTCTTTTATTGATTTTCAGTCCACCCCTAGTAAGCCAGTGATGGATTTTGCACTAAAAATCACAGTTTAGCTTTTCACACAGTAGCAATTTATAGACCAACGGCGGTTGCCATCTTCCATGCGCGCAATAATAGCAACAACAATAATGATGATGATGATTATGGTGATGATAATGATCAACCATGATAATCATATTAATAATCATTTTCGTTATTATTAATACCATATTTATTATTATTTTTTCAGTTTTTTTGAGCGCTCGTTACGCAGGCTTCTCTGTGACTAATAATGTCCCGTCCACGAGTATCCATTTTGTTATTTGTGCTTAAGGGTATAATTTTTTCTAGATTGGTCTGACTTCGTATCCTTCCACAAGCATTTCCGGTGAAGAGGAACTAACCCAAATTCTTACTTGATCTTGAGTGCAAATTAAAGTTTTTGGAAACGCCTTTTAAAAACGGGCCTGATTGGGGGTGCACGCCAGAGAACGACTTCACCGCAGCTTGCGTGGCCATATTTTTAGAGAAACAGCAAGTGCTTGGTGGTACTGGTGGGGCAACTTTAGTTGCGGTCCAGACCTAACCAAGCAGTTCAAAACTATGGTGACGTTCCCGACATGAACGGGTGCGTATCAAAGATTCGCAACGAATTTAAAACGTCCTGTCTTGCCGACGATAGTTTTTTTTCTTTGGAAAATGGAAATAAAATATTCATTTTCAAATGAAAACAGATTCCTAGGCGTTTGCAATTGCTAAAAAAAAGGTCTTTTCTTCAACACTGTCACTGTCGATGACACTTATAATAAAAGTAACAACAAAATACCTCGTTTTTGGCGATCTCCATCTTCAAAAGGAAGAGCATACGCCAAAGCAAAGAGCAGTAAAAGGCACAAACAACGCATTGCAGAGGGAGAAGCTTTAACAAGGTTCCTTCAAAAGCGTTAGGCGAACCTCTTGATGACTTAACACCAGCTCGTTTTATCTGGTAATTGAAGCCGCAACGTTGTTTTTGTTAACGCAACTGTCCAGGTGTACTAACAAATATGTTTGAGCACAAAAGGAATTTGTGTACTTTTATTACAACCGCCTCTTGTAAGAGTCACACCTACAAACATGCAGTTGAGTCAATTTTACTATTAAGGAAAAAAGGGCGTCAAGCTACCATGAATGCATATCTTTTGTTCCTTATCATATTTGCATTTTAGTTCTAAAAAAACTGTGCTCTCTTAAGTCAAAGTTGACAGCACCTGGTGTACTTCGTTTTTTCGCTTTTAAGGATGAATAGCAGAGCGGCATTTTCAATGGGCTGGTAGGATATTTAGGCTAGGAATTTTCTAGCCTGTTCCAGGCTCCAAGATGGATAGTAGAGATCCAGATTCTAAGCTGAGTATGAGTACGAGTTCAAGTTTTCCTCAATACTAAATAGTGCTCGCGCGTGAACCAGCGTCATTTTGGCGGGAAAACTTAATAGCCTTCGTCATTCTACTACACGTTTTGGCGGAAATAAGTTATTAATGTTAAAAATGTCATCATTTTGCGATCGTGAGAGGGCTTAACCTCCTCCAATAAAGATAATATATATTAGATTTAACCAGGGCTAAAAGCCAAGATCTCGATAATGTTTAAAGTTTGTTTATAGACAAAATATAAAATCGCGTAGTTCTAAGCGGCGAAGGCAACGCCGGAGAGCGGTGAAAAACAACAATAGGTCTAATTAGCAAAAAAACAACTTTGTACGTGCAGCACACTTTTTCTGTACATTTCTTTGCCGTTGTTTTGCGCGACTACCATGTGAAACCTTCAGAAACTTCTTAGTTACACGTTTTTTGGAGGAAATGTCGTACATGTTCTCGTTCACTTTTTTTTTCTCCTTGCATTGGTGGCCGCTAGCATTTCTCATGTTGTCACCGCCGCTACAACATTTTCATGTTGTTCTTCCAACAAAAAAATGTCTCCTTTGTTTTTTTCTCGTTGAGCTTCACTGGTCTGCCGCCTACTTTCTCTTTTTCTCTGTCTTTCTCTTGCTCTATATTCCAAATTTGTGGACATGACAATTAATCTAAGCTTAATGCTTCAGGCAACACGGATACAGAAACAATTTCCGCTTTCCGTTTTCGTCATTTTTGACTCGTTAGTTGTCTCTGTTTTACAAGACGGGGTGGCTATGCGATTTCCCGCCAAAATAACCGCGAGTTGCATTTGGGTTGCCATACCTGTTGATTGAGTTATTTTACATTGGTATGCCTGTGGTGCGGACGGACGGTCGGTCGGACGGTCGCTCTGTGTGCGGTGACGTGATTACCAAATTTTCTAGGATTGGTAGATTTACTTAGCTATGGGGCTCCGCAAGCGCGCGTGGAGCTCCGCGATAAAGAAGGCTAACGTATCGTATAAAATCGTTTCTACGTGGATGAGTTGATCAAATTCAGTTTCAGTTTCTTTATTCTGGGCTGAGTTGCTCAAAGCATGGTTAGCTTTAACCATTGGTTAAGCAGTATCAAAACCAATACGTTGTCAAGGTATTAAACGCTGGTTAACCCCAACCATGCTTCGAGCAACTGGGCCCTGGTGAGGAAGAGATCTCCCTCGGATGTTGGACAGTGTTCTGCAGGAAACAGTAATGGCCTTCGTGTGTTTCGCCACGTGAGGCAAAATTAGGGAAATTCGCCAAAAACACTTAACACGGAGTTGGTTTTTGAAAAGTTATTTGAAAGTGAAAGAGGATTGATCAATGGGAGGAAACGATTGCATTATGTTTATTGAAGTTATGTAGCTAGCATAGATTGTATCCAAACATTTTCCGCACCTTGGTAACTCAGATAAGCATCGCATGACCAGCCAGAGTTGCGCTAACCATATGGTACGTAGCAAATACCCTGAAAAGTTGAGACCAAAAGATTTATAAATATATCTTATTTCGTCATTAAAGTAGCTGTGTCGTGACGACGAATTTAGTAACTCATTCAGTAGGGTCTGACTAACAAATTCAGTGGAACATTCAACAAACGGTTGAAAACACTCCCACAGCGGCAAATCAAAAAGAAGGCCAGGGGTAAAGTAAATCAGAGAATAAAAAACAAAAAAGGAGGATTTCACTTGGAAGTTTTTAATAACGTCAAGCATAACTATAAAGCGTTTCAAGCTGAGTTCATCTTTGATTGTTGTTTCAAGGTAAATATACATCGCTCGGAATACATGTTTGTTTGTAACAAAGCTGTGGTTTTGTAATTTACAACTTTCACGTAATTTTTATTCAAACTTGGGTTTCTTTTCCTTTTCTCAAAGGCCCGGTAACGATTTTGGTTATACCGAGCTACTATAAATTAAAGAATTATATTTTTCCCTTCAAGCGAATAAACTGCCGACGTCAGTTTACATGTAGTCGTTAATCAATGATACAGTAATTTCCTTCTCAATTGTCAAATTTTATTAATTTTGACTTCTAAGTTCGTAAATAAAACTATGACCCGTATATTTGCCCAGAGCCATCCCCGCTGCTTGCTATCTAAAAAACACTAATTTATAAATTATATTATAGTTGGTTTGTATAATATTAACCATTGATACTGAAAATATAAGTAATATAGTTAAAAAATGAATAAGAAAATAAAAGCAAATTTTGCAACAAAAGCACCAAATAATAATAGATTAGACAAAAAAGCTTAAACATGAGATTAAAGCGGGTTTTATCGTATGCAATGATCCTGTAGTTAAAAAGATTACAATAATATGTACATTTGTATTTTCAATGCTTGAAACAAAATTTTATATTCTGTATTTTTTTCTTTATTTCTAGTCATTTTTTATTTCATACAAAATGATAGTACAGCATATTTTATTGATCAAGTGTTCTGTGAAGGGACTGATTTTTTTTGTCCAACTTTTCAAAAGAACGAATTTGGGCCAGGGAATATTCTCCTTGGAAATTTTTTATTTATTCCTTAGAAGGAATTTAACAAAATTTGGTCACAATTTGTTGTCGTTGTTGCGTAATACGTCTTCGGAATTAAAACTAAAGTGTTGCCAAGCCATGTTTTTAAAGCAATGCATGTGACTTTCTGAAAACATAAAAAATGCTTTTAAAACGATTATAAATTTTAACCATGTCAAACCTTGAGAAGTACAGTTTGAAAATTTGAACTCTATATCAATTGAAAACTTGAATTTTTCAGTCGATCTAAGGCAGTGGTCTTATACCCACCATATTGGATGAAGTCACACTTTTCAAGCCAGTGCCATATCTTCGCCGATTTCCTAAACCCCTCACTTTCAAACAGGAGGCCAATCCCTTTCATGGAGAAATGAATTTTTTCAATGAGAATTCAGAAATTTTGCACTTATTGCCATCTTAAAAACGAGGCCTAGAGCAATTTGAAAATTACTTATAAAGACCGTCTTCGCATGTCGTCACGTCAGGATCAGTGCCCGTTTACTATAGGACAGCCATGCATATGTTGGTGTCCCTAACTAATCTTGCGGGATTTGCAACCTCTTTTTATTTTTTGATATGTCGTATTGAATTGACAGCACTTTCCCTTGTTCGAATAAACTTGAATAGCTGTTCACGCAAATGAAACGCTCTATAGTTACATCTTCTTGAGGGTTGTTTCATCTACTGCAATTTTTTGTACCAAGGCGGGGTATAAATTCCCTTGTTCGTATGAATTATTCCCCCCCTCCCCACCCACCCCAAAAAACTAGCATAAGGATAAACCGTATTAATTTTTTCAAACAAAAGCCCCTAGCATTTGTTTAAATTTGCAGTCGTTAAACATTCTTTTTCACCAGTACCTTAGTTTTCTCAAGAGCTGTGTAGCTCCCCTCTAGCCCCCGTGATAATCCGGAGCCCGGTGTTTAACCGAGAAAAATGTTTAACATGACTGATACATAAAAAGATCATAAGAGCAGGAAAGACTATGGAAGCATAAGGTGACGTAGAACCTCAATTACTTCCACAAGAATAAAGTACTAGGCTATTCACTCTTTAGCCCGCGAACTCGAACGCAGACGTATTTCTGGTCGCCACTTCTCCCGGAAAAAATTCTGCGTTCAGAGGCTATTCACTCGTCACCTTTTTTTTGTATTAACTGTGTATGAATAATTTTGAGGGCTAAAGAAATAAAAAACAAAGCACTTGCACTAGCACTGAGTACAGAATTTACCCATGGGTCAGTGTTGACCAGTTAAATTGTTTTGGTTTTTGTTTCCTTTTGTTTTACGCGTTGTTCTATTTTCTTGCTCTATCTTCTGCATGGTGTCAGTACTGGTCCATAGATGCGTCTTAAAATGAACTTAAAAGTCTTTCGGAATTCTGGTATTCGCACTCCGTACACAATGGGATTAATTGACGAATTGGAGTAATGAAGAAATTTGAAAAGGATGGTTGCGGACCAGCTGAAAGGACACTCAATCTGTGGGCAGTACGTAAAGACGATGCTTGAAATGAAAAACGGTGTCCAAGCAACTAAGAAGAAACCAATAACAAAGGCTATCGTCGTTGCAGTGCGAATTTCACGTTTCAATGAGCGCTTACTTGGGTTGTTGTTCATCCGGGTCATGGCTATTTTCCAGATAGCTGCATATGAGACCACGATGATGGTCAGCGGCAGGAGGAAGAACACCACAAAGATCAACAGTACATAGTCTGCTCGTTTGACGCTGGGGACCATGAGTTTGAGGCACGATGCAAAGGCGGATATAAACCAAACCATAAACAAAGCAATGTAATAAAAATACTTCGGCAGGTTACGGTGCTTCACAGCCCAACCGACGCAAAAATAGCGCTCCATGGAAATAGCCATGAGGTGAAGGATGGAAGAAATCCCTGCAAAGCTATCCAAAGCAAGGTAAAGTTTGTTTATGTTCTGGAAATGTTGATCAAACTTCCTTTTTTCGGCGTAGTGGTTTAGAATGTACATCCACAGAGGAACCGATACCGCACCCACCAGAATATCCGCGGCGGCTAATCCAAGGACAAAATAATTTGTCACCGTGCGGAGTTTGTCGTTAATAAAAAACGCTGTCACCACCATCAGGTTACCGAACACAGCTACCAGAGCGATGATTGCGTAAAAGAAGCAGGCCACAATGACCGACTCCCTGGAAAGGGTAAAAAATCCGCCTCCCTCAGCACCAGGCCCTGTGGGCTGCGTAGTGTTAACTGCCGATGTGTTGGACATTGTATCTGTTAGAGAGAATATTGGGATAAATATATAGCTTACATAAACCTTTTGATGATTCGCTGAAATCCCAGACTAACAAATATGTTTTCAGGAAACGAAAAATGTCAACATTTTAAGTTAACCTGTTTCGTTCTTTTGAATTTAGGTTCGCAAAGAATAAACTATATAAACTACAGTATCCTGTGTAAAACGTAACTCATACACTGCTCGTATAACCCCGAAGGGTTAACCATGGCCAGTTGCAACGCAGTTTTTTTTAGTAATACCGGTATTTCTTACAACGCAGGTTAACGGCACAGATGGAGACGAGATTGCTTTTTTGATTGATTTGTTTATATCTAATAATAATTGTCCTTAGTACATGTAGATATGCCGTTTTCTGGATGAGGCTGAAGAAAATAATGCTATTTTATAATCAAGAAATTTGTATTTTATTTCTGCCCCTTGTCTACCAAACAAATCGCTGTTATTATAGAAGTAAACAAAGAAATAAAGTATGGCATAAATCAGTGCAGTTAATTTATGATGATTATTATTTGCTAAGAGATCATACCTGATCAAAGCTGATAGCATGTTCTTTGTAACTGACATGCATGTTAGTCTAATTGGAATTCCTTAGAAGCGAAAGAGAACAAGGGGAAACGAGCCTAGGAGAACAGGAGTTGGTAAGGGTGCCGAAGGTGGAAGACGAAAGAGCTGAGCTAGAAGTTCTAAAAGGGAGGGAAACAGGAGAAATGGGGGGAAATTGGGCAACAGCGCTTAATATTTCCAAGTCGAAAAGGTGGTAAAGGGACCAGAAACAAAGAAAAGAAGCAGAAGCTGGGAGTGCAAGGTATTGGAGCCCCGATCTTGAGTTTGCAGGGCCTCACTGTCCACGCAAGGCCCCTACTACCTTAGAAGATAGCCTGCGATCATGCCCTCTCCCTTTATCTCTGTAATCTGTTTTAGGTTATTTTTTTCCCTCACGAGCCAAAGGAGCAAAGAAGCAAAGAAAAATAACGCCTGATCTCAGGTTACTTAGAAGAGGACACTATCAACACTGATTCCACGCTGTAAGACTGGTAAGTGCCAGAAGCTCAGAACCTGGAGCGAGCAACTCCCTTGTGCCCATGCAACGAATCTTTCAAAGATCGGTCTATTTTTGGGTCGATTTTCCCTCGAATTTGGGAAGATCAAGTAAGTCTTACAAATCATTGTAGTCATCAAAATATGAACCGGAGACTAGAAAAATAGTATTTCTGATGTTTTGATAGCATTTACTTCTTCTTTATGTAATTATCGTCCCTTGGACTAGAACCCTTCCATTTCCGCTGGAAAAACTTCTCAAAAATGATGCTAAAAACAACTTGATCTGTGAAAACGCCGTTGCATATGCTAAGCATGGGAGTTGCACTCTCCGGGTTATGGGCTTCTGTAAGTGCTTTTTAGAATCTCTTTTAAACTAGGATTGTGTTACCCTGGGTGCCAGAGACTTTTCTAGCGCGGTTTCCGGTTTCTGTCCAGTCTTTAGGGACGGACCATTAGAAAACACAAGGGAAAATTAAATGAAAAAAAATTCTTGCACGCCAATAAACCCTAAGAAATATTCATGCAAGGGCCTGAAAAAAATTCATACAAGGAATTTGATAACGAAAAAAAAATTCCTGCAGCTCAATTCCCCCCCATAACTTTTCTAATGGTCCGTCCCTTATAGTGACCCGCGCGAAAAGCTTTTTCTCGCGGCTTCGGCCAACACCGAAAATTCCGACCGCACGCGAGGAAAACCTCTAGTACCCAGGGTAGGATTGTATTGGCACGAAAAGTATTCTAAAGTAGCCAAGTTGTTTTAGATACGCCCATACTAGTTGTTTTAGATACGGCTCCATACTGTTTTCGGTTTTCTTGGGGCCATTTTAACTCCCTAGAGAAACAGAAATCCCATTGCGTTTAAGTGGATCTTCCAAAATTGAATTTGAGTGGTCAATTGTTAAGTGGATCTTCCAAAATGAAATCATTGTTCCAAGCCAAAAACATTGTCAACAAAACAAAGACAAGTAATTATTTTTTGCACCTAATAACTTTGCTAATACGACAAGCCGAAAGAATGGCAACTGAAATAAAGTAAAAGTGCATTGAAGCTAAACGATGCCATTTAAAGACTGCGAAAAATAATTGCTCAGCTGATAATGAACATTTAGGGTTGCCGATCATGTTCAGTACATTCCCCTGATTCTGATGGCCAAAAAACACTGTGGATATACATTTTTTGAAAAGAATCTTTTACTAATTGAATTTCAATGCGATTCATAATATTTAAGTCAAAATAGTTGGTTCAGGCATTCAAGCGGCTTTCGTTGAAAACTATGCTTTAAGTACTTTTAAATTAAGTCAACTGAAATATCTTCCATTGATCGAGGGAGTCTCTAACTCCTGGTGAAAGTTCATAACTATTGCGGAGTGAAGTATTTGGACTACCAACATTGTACAAGCCAGTCCGTGCTTGTACAAACAGTAGCAAGGCCACTTCAGCAAACAACAAAATGCAGATCAACTTAGTAATCTTTTGTTTAGCAATGATTGTTGAATTTGAAGTCATTGCTAAAGTTAACCTCTATAAAACAGACTCACTTACAGGACAGAAGTGAAGGATGACGATCAGCCGATCTGTACCGGATACAAGTTGATTTGCGCGCTTGACGGGATCTGTAAGTGGTTTTCATACAGAGTCAGAAGACCGCATAACAACAAGTAAGACAATTCTTTTGTTATTGGAAATCTGGTCGGATGACATGAAAAGATATTCAGCTGTGTTATTAACAACAAGTTAGTTAATAATCCCTTGTCTTTCTTTCAAATACTTAAGGCGCTTTAGCGATATTAGCATACGGGAGCTCAAAACAATATCCTAACGAAGCACGTTTTGAACAAGCACGCATACTGCATTGAAAATGGCCATAACGCGTTCCGCGTACTTTTAACTTAACCACATTCACATAATAGTGAATACAATGAAACGGTGTCCATTGTTTGTTTAGCCAGCAAGTTTGTCACTGATTTATCGCGATCGCTAATATGCATCATCATTGGAGAAAATACAAATTATCACATAAACATAAATCTTTTAATCAAAATTTTAAGAAATAGATGGTCGTCAGAACAAAGTACATGCAAAAATAACAAAAATAAAAAACAAAATAGGAGCACACTGTGTAAATATGAAGCCCTAAAATCAAACCCTGTAAAACATTGAGCTTTCTTTAGCACTTACAAAGACAAAATAAATGGATTAACCATCATATCCGAATAATGTATTTTGTAGCGTCATGTCTGATTGATATCAATGCACTATAATATATTTAACGAAGGTGCCCCTTTTTTTCTTCCGATCTTAACTGCGTATTATTTGCTTAACTTCGAATATTAACTGCACCATCTCACGAACTTTTAATGAAGATTACTCGGGCAACACGTTTAATATCAACGACTTCTGCAGTGATTTGATGGTAGAAAAGATTTTACTACTCGAATGCAACCTCCACGGAAAACGTCACAAGACTTTTGACTGAGAACGACATCTCTTGCCACTTTTTCTTTCTAATTCTTTTTCTTTTTCTGCTTTCTTTCTCTCTTTTTTTTTTCTTTCTTTATCTAATAACATATCCTTTTTTTTCCGCTCTCTTTTCTTGTCCCAAACGCATTTCCTAATGGGGTTTTTCCTTGATTCAGTAACTATCTAAATTCTATATAACCGTAAAGATAACATTATAATCTTTCGTTAGAAAAAGGCTCCTGAACAGCAAACAATAATTCGCTGATTTTATCCTTTGACGCTTCCATCGTAAATTCTGAGCAAAAATTAAACTTTGGTTTATCGGCTTCACAAACGAGTCGAGAAAACAATAAAACCTAATAAACAAGAAGCAAGATTATGCCTTGGTTGTAATTATCCATATTTACTGTTTCGCTAACACCCATGACAGGCCAACCAGAGAGTGGTTTGATGATCACATATAATGGCGGAATGATTTTAACCTAAAGATAAGGTTATGAGATTATAGCTGACAGGTGAAAAAAACAAAACAAAAACAAAAACAGCCAACTCAGCCAGCGCACGTGATATTCAGACCAACTTGTTATCTTCGAGACAAGTGCACAGTGTCAATTCATCATAGAGATAACTTTTATCATTTTGAACGCGAATTAGCTCGGTAAAGTTTATTTGCATACAGACGCGTACGATAACTGTCAATCGACGAATCGCTCCTATTCTGTCAGTCGATTAAAATCAGTGTTGAATAGATATCTACATGCTAAATAAAAGTATTCCAGTTTCTTTGCTTTTTTTGTTTTTGTTGTTTTGTTTGTTTTCTTGTTCTGTTTTGTTTTCATAATTTTATTCTTGTTCGTAGCTATTTTTCCGGATTTTTCATGTGGTCAGTTCAGTCGATGGCATGACGTGAAAATTAAAGAGGAAAAAGAAGAAATGTTCAAATGATTTCCTCAATCTTTATTTGCCCACTGGTATCCGTTGTGTTTCTTTGTCATTACGATAATGTGAGAAACATAAAGTACTGAATTACTTTATCAAAGAAACATTACGAGGAACGGAAGGAATCAAATGGACGTCCTTATTTCTTTTCAGTGTGTTTTTTTTTTGATATAGCATCTCTTTCCTCTCAACGTTGAGGGACGAACAGGCGAAATTGATCAGTCGGAGAAAAAGATGCCCTCTCAACCGTACCTAAAAAGAGCTCTGGTTTCCAGGCGCGGATCCACACCGGCTTCCAGCGTTTTACGGAAATCGGTCATATTTTTCATAATAAATATATTTTCAACAAAAATTAAATAAAACACTTTCCAAAATGAACTCTGGCCAATATCCCGTCCAAATGACTCGGAAACCGATTTTAGCCTGCCACTGGATCGTTTAGAAATCAGTCAGTATTTATTTTTATTATTATTTTGAGGCCTGCAGATTGAAACGCAACTTTTCCTTTAGCTTCGGCTTGTAACAGTGCAGTTTCGATAATAGTGTCCATAACACTGGACTAGTTGCCGTTTCATCGTTCGTCATGAACGATAGGCTCCGTTACATTTGCGGTCAACTCAAACCACTTGATCTCATCAGTCGGAATATACAGTTTAAACTAAACGAGTATGAACAAATTGAAAAACTATGAATTACACTTTGTAAGATCTCAGCGTAATCTCGAATAGCACGGAAGTTCTCTGAGTATTCATGGTAATTTAAAATATTTTGTCTTTTAGAGAGATTTGTTCAATGAATGTTCTAGCTTACACGTTTTAAACCTGTCCTTCCCAACAAGGAAAGGTCACATTTAAGGTTAACTAATGGTAACTATCTAGTGAGTGTTCAGCTCTTTCAGACATTTTGGTCTCTTGCTTTGGCAGGGCATGTAATGCTTACATTTCAGCTTATCACTACGTTGAGAGTATTGCAGCATGCACTTGGAAACATATGGTTTCCTTGTCGAGGAATGCAAAACAGAAATATGCTAAGTCACAAAATATCGCACCAAACGGTTAAAATGTTACAAGGAGCTGAAAACCATCTAAGGTAGCATCATAAAAGCTTTATAAATTTTACAGCATATGAATCTAGGGCAACAAGCAATTCTTTTAAGTACATTTTTCATCATGAATTCGAGAGAAAAACGACAATGTGTGTATACAACTACGAATGCTCTAAATGTGAATACCAAAAAATTGGAATCAAACAGTAAACTCTCTCGCAACGACCTTGGAATGCATCGTTGCTTGAAATAAGGGAGCCGAAATTCAAATGAAAAATTGCTGCCCTCATTGAACAAGAAATATATATAGTTCATCGTGACGTATACAGCCGTCAGAAAATATTATTAAAAAAAGAAAAAGGTAATGAAGAGAGTTAGTTACCACGAAGTACTTGGGTCAATGCCGGCGCGCAAGCAAAGATGAAGCGTATAATGAAGTGGAAATAGTGATTTTCAATATTCAAAAATCAGCGCTTGAGAAACGAAACAAATAGGGAACTACAACTCCGTCGACTAAACTAAAGTTGATTTGTTGGAGGTGATATCTACAGTGTAGATTGACTGGCATTACTGTTGTGAGTGACAGGGTGAGACTGACATTCCACACAGACTGGAAAGATTCTTATCAAGTTATCGAAGGTTTAAACCGATGACAAAACCCAATGAAAAGATACCCCAGGCCGTTCAGATACAATGCAACGCACATATTTCTTGCTTGTGCATTTTAGTTTTCATTTCAAGCAAATCACAGTATATTTGCTTTATCACTAGTAATCACAGATAAAGATGAACAGATGAAAGTCAGGAACAAGTTGCTAATTTCTCTGAAAGAACACGTCTACTCTTTAGACCAAACTCACTAACCTTATAGAGTGCGAAATCTTTCAAAGTTTTTGTGATCAGCAAGCTTGCGATATGATATCCGGTGTTCAGTTTTCCTTCTCTTCGGCTTCTAGTAAAACAGAATGTTTGCTGTGGCAAAACTAATCAAATGTTAACACCCCGTAGTAACAAGCCATCGCACTTTTTTGCATTTCAATGAGCTCCTGTCACTCAAGGGTTATAATTGTCACCCACAAAGTAAACGTTAATGTCAAGCCAATTGAAAATTCATGAGAACTGAGTGACACACATTCACCACAAACAACACGGCAATTGTTCTTAACATCTAAAAACTTGGGCAAGTATATATTTTTAATCTTTAGAATAAAACTGCATGCACGTTTGAGTCCTTAACGAAATTTCCGGAAATTGCTAAGGAACTAAGATTTTTTTAGATACATAAACCGCCGATATTTCTGAATTTACATAAAATGTACGCAGCAGTCGTTCTAAAGTAAAATATATCTGGTATATATTTTTTAAAAGAGCCATCGAAATTAACCGAATTCACCTGCAGTTGACAAAAATATATCGCCCTTAAAGAGAAATCATAAATTATATATTATGAAGCTTACGGAAGATTAAAAGAAAAAACGAAATGACAATTTTTTCGCTTACCGGTTCAAAGCGCAAATTTTTCCTGAGAAATAATCACGAGTATAGAGTTCTTTTGGTATTATCGCTTAATTATACTAAACTAACAAGTGCCTGGATCAGTTGGTGAGATTTCATGTAAATTCTAAGACAGTGTTAGATTTTGTAATAAAGATTTGCAAGGTTTGCAGTTTGGCAAATAACCTTGAGTTTGCTACGCGGTAAAGTACCCAAGAGATTTCTTGAAAGCAAACTAAGTTCATTAAGGGAATTCTCCAACTCAATTAAGTGTCTTCTTGGGAAATTGCCTATTCTTTGCTAAAATTTCACGACAGTTAAAATTCGTGGGAGTAGACTGCTTGCTAGTAATTTTCGACCCATAAAAATCCACCCCTATTTTCGACATATTTTAGTTCAGTGCAAAAGAGACCATTACCAAAAATCTTAATGGAAAAGTTTAACGTTCCAAAGCCCTGTTTGCAGCTGGGCTTTCTCCCCTTTGTTTGCAAGGCCATTGTTGCATTCAAAATTAAATCTCTTGGTAATTTTGTGACGTCGGCACATGAAAAGCTAACATTAAACAGAACCGACATTCGGAGTGAAACTTGCAAAATCAATTCCTTCGATTTTTTTTATTGCGCGTTATTAAAAAAGGGATTTTCTTAATTTAAAGCTTGGATTCCCCTTTTTCAAGGTAAAATATGACAGATTGTAATCAATAATTCAAATCTGTATCTTCGACTTACAATGTTTGCCAAATCTCTTAAAATACTCATTAAAAACTCATTCAGACTTCATTCATACCGTCAAATTACTATTGCAAACACAGTAAATCATTAGACATTTTTCAGTTTCTCTGATCAGCTTTCAGTTCATTTGGACGTGGCTTCTAGAAATTTTCAGTCTTTTTCTTTCTCTCTCTGTCTTTAAAAAAGAAAGAAAAAACTCAAATATCATATGTGAGTCCCTTACGTAATCTCTTACCGTAATATACAGGGAATTAGTCAGTGATCCATAAGATTTTAATCTTTAATTTCACATATACAGATAAACAATATTTTGGCTCTTACAAGTAAGTCTGAAGCCCATAAAAGAATACGCATTCAATATTGTAAACATATAGCATTATAGAGGTTCTTGCATTTATGGAAAAAAAGCAGCTACAAGCAAAGGCGTTTATTTTGAAACGACCCCACAAGCTTTGAGCTTTAAACAATATCGTGTTTAAATAAAGGATATGTATGTATATGTATGTATAAAAAAAAAATCAGTATCGTATTTATTATC